CGTTTGCGCATTCGTGCGGAGGGTCCGCTACATTAAGTGCTGTTCCAAACCAACGAGTGTGGAGCGGTGTGGAGGGGGAGTGGGCTATCAAGCCCTCAAACAGCGAGTCTGCATCGGTGCTGACTTGAGACCGGTCTCTACCTGACCGGAGTCACCCTGTGTGTGTCCGTCAGGAAACACGCTGTTTACAAGTAGTTCCAGCAAACATCCGCTGATAAACTGCGATTTTAACAACCTCATGATAGCCTCATATGTTTTTAACTTAGGATCAAACCTGTGTTTATCAATCAATGATCAATCAATCATGTTTATTTATATAGTCTAGAAAAAGGTAAATGTGTGCATTTTATTGTAAAGTTGTGTATATTTACAGACTGTTTCAAAAACTAAGAAGCTTATAAACAGGTTTCAAACTAAAAGAGATGAAATATGTTTGGAGTTGTATTTGAGTTATTAATTTACATTTTTTGTCTAAGAGATGCTGATTTGAAACCGTTGTTACATACAGTTACGGCATTTCCTGTTTCTGCTGGAGAGAGGGGAGGCCGCCCCAAAGCTTGCTGCTGTATTTATACCCTTAACCCTTAATGGAGGGAACTTCATTCAGCTGCGAGTGTGGCTACAGACGGAGTTCACTCCGTCACGGAGGGAGTGATTTGGGATTGGGCCTGAATATCTCATCATTTGGCTCCTCCTCTTCAATGGCGGCTGTGGTGATGCAGGGGGACCTCCCACCTCGGTCTTCGATGTCCGATATCGCGTAAAACAGAGGATTTAGACCAGGGGTGCCCAACCTTTTTTGAACCGAGAGCTACTTTTAAAGTTGCCAGTCTGCCGAGATCTACCAGTCCAAATAGAGAGGCGTAGCCATTACTGACAGCCTATACTACCAGGTAAATACACACTTCTACTTGTATAAAACTGACCTTTAAATACTTCATAAAATACTGCAGATCCTTTATCTTACCTCTTTCTAATCTACACACATACAAGTATTGAACTGAAGTTACACAACAGTGTTGTTGATACAGAGTTGGAGTTTATTCACACGTCACTACAGTGGGTAATGTTTTCAAGAAACATTGAACAGTGCTGCCACATATGACACAGGGAAAAAAGAAAATACTCTGAACCCTTTCTTTGCCATTAAATACAAATAGTGTTGCTACAAAAATTAGGCTTACTAATAAGACAACTCAGATCTGAAGCTACACAGGAATCTGCTGCCAAAGTGCAATAAAAAAGACAAAATAGAATCAAACCCTTTTTTTGTTGCATTTTAGTAGAGTATACAAATAAATGCCTTTAAAATAGGATGCAAGCAACACTAGTTTCTTAACCTGAATTGATGATATAATCAATTTAAGTTTGCATTCTTATACCATTTTGTACAATAATTATAATGAATAAGTTCAAACAAACTAAAACTTACAGCTGATTAATAACGGTATCTAACTTGAGTTTTTATTATATCAAAAACCTGTTGAAATGCTACTGTTATTTTTACTGTCCCCCAAAAGTGCGTCGGCAGCCTCCAGGAATGCTTCTTTCACAACTTCGCCGTCTTTGAAAGACTTCATGTGTTTCGCAAGAACGTGACTGATGCGATAAGATGCTCTGGTAGCAGCCTTGCTCTTGTTGTTGGGCCTGGTGGAAATGGACTGCTGTGCATTTAGCTGTCCTTTCAGGCCCCTCCCCTTTTGGAGCGTAGGGCAGAATTAGGAGGGAATTCCGTCTCGTAGCGTTTGTGCACTGTTTTGAAATGCCGCTCCTAAATTACCCTTCTTCGATAAAGCCACGCTCGCATTGCAGATGAGACAGATGGACTTTGAATTGGAATAGATACAAAAATAATCATCCTCCCACTTGGAGTGAAAATTATATATGTTTTACTTCTGCCATAATTGCGGTCTTGTGTGTGTGCGGACTGTCACTCCTGTTGACACGGACAATGTTAGCGAACTAGTGCACTGCCCACTGCCCACCAGCCACGCCCCGACACATGGGCTCACGCCGGCCAATCACAAAGCTTTGATGCGTTCAAGTGCATTATTCTGGCACAGGAAGATTACGTTATAGGACATTAACGATAAAACAGAATATTGTTGTTCTATTTTTAGACACATCTCGCGATCGACTGGGAATCGTCGATCGCGATCGACTGGTTGGGCATCCCTGATTTAGACGTTGTGTCTTCATTGTATAACTCCACACGTCTCTTCTCCTCATACTCTCTTTCATGACTTTTTATTTAATGCATTTTAATGGCTGTAATTGTTGCTAACAAAAAAACGGAAGTTAAGCTCACTGTTGATATTCCGGAGACTTCTTCCGGTAAAGCTTTTCAAAATGAACTTTAGCAACAACGTTAGCCACAGACGAATGCTAACCGGAAATGTTTTCAGAATAAAACAGTTTTAAGCTTACTGTATGTTTAAACTAAATTACGTCATTAAACATTGATTTTAATTTCTTACACGCTGAAGATTTGAAGCCTTGAAATGGGTTAATGCTGTCTGGCATATAAGGCAAAATGGCTTGCAATTGCGTTCGATAAAAAAATATGAACTCTCCCACTCTACTAAAAACGTCCCATGTTCGTCTTCATATTTTCGCTTAGCTGTGCATTTCTTCCCTGCCATTTTAGGATCAAACTCAGTTCATGGTCAGATAGTGTTTAATTAACCAATCACCTCAAAGGTGATTGGTTCACTGCATCGCAGATATTATTGTGATTGGCTCTTGGGCCACATCAAAATTAGATGCGCTGTCATCCTCTCATACTGACACCTGACACCACACATACTCACGTAGGGAAAGCCGGGACGAAAGTAACACGGGACGAAAGTAATGGAGCGATTTTATCCGAGCCCAAACAACTTTGACCGGCCAAATTACGTCAGAAATATCAGCATTCAATACTTAACAGACCTACTAAATATCAGGTTTAACTGTCAGGAGTCCGTGTTTCTCCCCCACACTCACACATATAGAATTCGATCTGAACTGAAGAGCCACATGAAACTGGGGCAAAGAGCCGCATGCGGCTCGAGAGCTGCGGGTTGGCCACCCCTGCTATTATCTTATTATCACACCAACATTGTCAGCTGGAAAGTATTCACTTTCTGACTGTCAAACAAGCAACTGATATCCCCCCCACCCCCCATAAGTGAATGTGTATGAATTGACGCTGTTTGTTATAAAAGTTTCTCTGGTATAAATTGGGTGATGTTAGCATAGCAACCGAAGCTAATCTGACTATGACTACTTGTTGCTATCCTATTGTGGCATAAGCCGTTTTCTACAGGCACATTTTACCGGCGTATTTTTCAAAACAAAACACCAGGAAAACGTCTGCCTGCTCTCCACAATGATCAATAACAGCGAACGGATGGTCAAAGTAAGGTACAAATAAACAGAATCACACTAAGCGTGGTTAGTGTTGTCTGACTTTATAAAGTGTGTTTTTTTAATAAGTGTGTGGTCGCGTTCTAGTCACTTTGCTCAGCGCTACTGCTTGTTACTTTCATTTGCTGTACTCGCCATGAACTGTTATTGCTCAAGTTGATCTCACCCCCCGCCTCCGACATAAGCGTGAAGTATTGGTTCCTGGTTCTTGCCGGGCAGCCGAGTGGGGCCAGCTAAGAACCGGTTTTCGGTGCTTAGAGGCAGCTCCGATGCGGTGGAAACAGGAAGAACCAGCCATTTTTATTGTATTACACGTTCGAAATAAATCAAATCAAATTTGTCTTTGTCTTGATTACTCAAAAACAACTGTTAGTGTGTTTATGCACCTGGCTGCCAAAGATAAACATGCAGTTTGACCGAGAGGCATTTCAGTGCAGAATACATTTTTATTTATTTAGAAGACGGGCACAATTTCCTTAACACGGACACGGAATGACCAGCATGTCTTTGAGTTCCTCTGACCCTTCCTCTGAAAGTGGAGAGGACACTGAGGATTCTTCACTGTGAGGCGGGGTCTGTTGTTCCCTCAGCCACCAGAAAAGAGCTCCAGCTGCAGTACCCCGGGAAGCCCTCTTCGGAGTAAAAACCCTCCAAGATTCCTCGGCGTCCACTTCCCCGGTAGCCTGTGCCAACGTCCTTATTAAGATGGTCGCATTGAAAGCACCCGGTTTCATTAAACAAAAAGGCTAACAGTTGGTTTTGCAGCGAGTCGTCATAGGCTAACAGATGACTCAATACACCAGAATAGTTGTTAACTTTAAACAAACAACACGATTCACATTACTCACACTCTTACTGTAATTAGTGATTAAATCAACAATTAATGTAGGACACCTAGTTGGGCTTGCCAACATCACACAACAGTTTCATTAAACAAATAATCAAATATGCTAACAATTTATTTTTGCCGAAAGCTATAGCAAACGAATAATTGTAGTGCCTTTTAATACAGTTATCATATAGCTATCATAAACTAACAGATTATTGTTTGTATTACCTTAAGACTATCATAGTTAACGTTAGCTAATCACACTTCATTTCAAGACACCGGAATTGTTATTAATGTTAAGCAAATAAAACTTTAAAAGCACTTCACATTACTCACACTCTGTGCGTTGTCGTTCATATTCATGTCTCCTACTCGCTAGGTGGCAGTGTCACGAAAAACTAGGGTCCTAGGAGTGCGGTCCTAGGAGTGTGGTCCCAAAACTGCAGTCTCCGACGCTGCAGCTTCATGCTACTCAGAACCAGAGCTAAATCAGGCTGTAGCCAGGAACCGGCTCTGGAACCGGTTTGGTGGAAAAGGGGCATCAGACACCTTCCTAAAGTACTAATAAACCCCCAAAAAGCAAAAATGTATCTATGAATTATTGGTTTTCAGTATTAACAAAACTTGTGCGACCCTTTGAGAAACACAGAAGATCTCCCTTACATTGTTAGTCAAAGCTTGTGTAACATAATGAGTTGTACATCCATAGGTTGAGTCTAAATGTGTCTCTCTCTCTCTTGCTGTTTTTCTGTTTGTTCATTAGGATGACTATGTTTTAGAAGTTCGTCACTTTCAGTGTCCCAAGTGGCCGAAGCCGGACGCCCCCCTCAGCAGCACCTTTGAGCTCATCAACGTCATTAAAGAGGAGGCGTCCACCCGCGACGGGCCCACCATCGTCCATGATGAGTGAGTCATACATTTATATTCTGTCTGTCTGAAAGTTTAGGACAAGGAGAGAATAACACTGAGTGGCATTTTGGCAGGTGCTCGAGAAAGTAGTGGGTTTCTAAACCCAGATGTAATTTCAGGCATGATGTTGACAGAGAATGATAACTGTATATTTGCTGAAAGATTTAAAATACATCACTGCAGGAGTTATTTACTGCTCCCATATTATTTAATGACATTTGAATTGTAGATCATGCTGTTGTTGTTAACCCCAATATGAATTACATCTCTGTTTGGCACTCCCAAGTTTATTTATTTTGTGAACAAAGATGGTGATGTGAATGATGTGGATAAAACATAATGGTCCCCAGGCATACAGAGACTTCGTCAGCCTGACTGTCCTGCAGGTTTAGTTAGGACACATGTTGTTTCACTTCGAAACATCCAGTGACAACCCTCCAACCCCCAGACTCCCAACACAGGTACCCCAAGAAACTTCCCAATTAAACGTAATGAAAGTGTCTTTAGTATTGACACACATTAGTGTGCTTGAAGGACACTCTTATCCAGCAGCTCTGCTCATGTTTATTCATTAGAATAATGAAGACTGCTAGTAGCATCCTCAAGAAGTGACTAATTGAGCACTTCATCTGGTTGCCACGGTGCAGCCAGCTTGCAGATTGTCAGTTAGAGGCGCGTCCTAATTGTCTGCAGCTCATTACTCAGCCAGGCATGGTTGTTATAAGCTCTCTGCTGCGCTCCTGACAGGGCTGCTAATGGAAGAGAGACCCTTTACATTGTGAAGGAAACCCGGCGTTCCCCCAGGGCAGGGGTCGGCAACCCGCGGCTCTCGAGCCGCATGCGGCTCTTTAAGCCCTCTACTCTGGCTCCCTTGAGCTCAGACACAAATAAGGAAATAAAATAAAAATATTTGTAGGACTATTTATATTTTGTTGCACGGTTGAAAATGTTTCGTATCTTGTATTTTGAGGTGATACTGTGACACATCATTTTCTTTTTAAAAAACTGTTTTAATTAGGTCAACTCAAATATGCGTCACATCCTGCTACGGTCCCGCACCAGCACCTTTTCTTGCAGGTGAATAACCTGACCCCCGGCTCGATGAGCGAACTATGGATAAATCAGAGAAAATAAACGGAGGAACACAGAGGGTTTAATTCTGCGTGGACAGAGTTATGCTTTCACAGCAAACGATGCTACGATATGTGGAGAGAAGTTGTTAAAGGTGCTGCAGCCTTTACGTATTGAGGAAAAACACGGAAGAGGAAGACAGCTGGCGATCTTCAGTCATCATTCCATCAGTTAACTCTTTTTAGGGTGCAGCTATATGTTTGATTTATTTCAAAGTGGGCCCATTTTAATTATATAAATGTTCTTAAAATGTGCAGAAGACTCCCCAAGTGCTGTGTTGATTTATTTTAAAGTAGGCCTGTGTATTTTTTTTTAATTCTCCTTATAAGAGTTCTTTGCTTAACTGGTTAATTTTTAGAGGTAGTTTTCTATCATGTAATAAATGCAAAGAAACTGTAGTTTGTGTCTATTATGTAACAATATATACAACTTTATAAGCTATCCAGCTATCAAATATGTTTTATAGCTCCAGACAAAAAAAATTGGTGCAAAAGGGGGCAAAATGGCTCTTTTTGTCAAAAAGGTTGCAGACCCCTGCCCCAGGGAGACACATTCTCTGTCATCCTCAGGTGGATTATCTCGCTAATAAAGGTCTAATGTCACAGCTGACAGGCCTGATCTGTGAGGGGCTTCACTCCCTGGCTGAGCTGCTTTCAAGGACATCTCATCTTCAAATTTATAAAGAGAGTTCAAAGTAATTAAATGACAACGGTCATTATCTGGAATTGGCTTGTCGTCTATACAAAACTTGAAACTTTATGGTATACTTCCTATCTATAAATCAACCCGGTATCACGTGAGACGTGAACATGTGACGCTTTACCATTGCTGGGAGACGTGAAGATGTCACGGTTTCGTCTTTTCAAAATGTGAAAAGCGTGACAGCTACACGGTATTACATGTTAACCAGTGGAGAAATAACCGGAAATACCAAGCAAATGCTACCCCGACGTAATGATTTATTTTTTAATAGTCACACTCGATTACAACGATTTTCTTGTTGCCCCAGCTGGTCGACACCTCTTTTAGCAGAAACAAAGGCTACATTAATGTATTAAATCGATGTTAATCCATGCGTGTGGATGTGGAATTAACGGACGTGACGTTGTGCGATTGAGTTGCCAAGCAACAGCTTCGGTTCATGTTAATTTACAAACTATTCAACTACAACCGTAGTTATATTTAAAAACATGTTAGAAGGCCTCACGAAATACTTTAATGCACATTCAAATGTAAATGTGAAGGAATGTGTGTATAACAAAATACATCGGTCATTAAACGAAACCGGAAACAGACGAAGGCAAGATCCTCAGCTCGATGATTGGATGGTTATCCGTAATGCATGCTGGGATTTGTTGTTTATGTGATGTGAAATCTGAAAACGTTTTTTAAAAATACAATAAAACTTTATTCCTAGTGTGCTTGCTTTACTCTTTGAAAGTCATCACATAACGGCATTGTAATACACGGTTCGGCTGCATTACATATTACATATCTGCCGTAGTTCTCTATTTATAGAGCCGTGCTGAGAAGACTTCTGGACAAACAGGAGAACTGCCGCCAAAACTGAATACGTGACGTTGATCATAAATATATAAGCAATTATACAACATCTTACATTTCTTTTCACACAATGCGTCTCCTTGCAGTATCAACACTAATTCGGCTGACTTTTATATTTGATCCAATTGGTAGATAGGCTGTATTTACACCATAACCGTGCAGAGCTGATAGAAAGGGACACCTGGTGGTTAAAGCACGTTATTGAATTTTATTATTTTATTATTAGATATTAGGATCCCTATAAAGTATATTCATTACTCGTTATTCTCTACTAATAGTTCATTAAAGACTGTATATAATGACTAGTTTGAACATCCCTTTCAAGATTTCAAGATTGTATAAGCTAAGGTTTATTGACATATCATATTATACACAACTACTGTGTAGTTATGCAATGAATGAAAAACTTGGGTCGCAGGTTCCTTAACAGTGCATTACAAGACATCTATCAATATGTGTTTATACTCCACCATTAAACTGTCATTCTGCACATTTCTTATACTATCTACATACATCTTATAAGAGTATAATACATATGTATAATATCAGTTTAATAATAAACAAATAATAAACAAATAAGTGCTTAAACATAGTTAACATTGCAGGAAAGCAATATATTAGACGTTAAGTACTTTGTCAGGCTTAATATTTATCTGTAGATACAAATGTCACTGTGTGTGCTGTGTGCTCTGCATGTGTGACCATTAAAGAATCAGAATACCTTTATTAGTTCCACAGAGGGGAAATGTGCAGCGTTACAGCAGGAAAGAGCCACAGACAGCTTAGTGTTGCATATCTTACATGCGTTAAAAAAAGTACTAAGTTAGAATAAAATAAACAATATGCTAAACAAGTACTAAGTTAGAATATATTAAACAATATGCAAAAAAAAAGATAAAAAGTTACATAATTTTCAAAAATACAGATCAAAAACAAAACGGCATATATATTGATTTAGTGGCCAGGTATAAATTACACAGTTATTAATGGCATATATATATTGCACATATTGCACAAAGTTGGTTTGTATTTAGCAGCAAGGGGTGTTATAGTCTGTGTTGTGGTGTGTGTAGGAGGGTCTACTAGGGGCAGTGCTGGTTGTAAAGTCTGACCGCTGCAGGAAGGAAGGACCTGCGGTTTCAAGAGGGTTTCATCCCTCCATATTCTTCTTAAAGCTTTTTTCTTATTCAAAATAAGACCTTAACCTAAAGTACTCTTTAATGTTTCAATTAAGCCTTATTAGTTTGTCTGTTTTGCACATCCTCCTATTAATATCTAATAATAAAATAATACAATTCAATAACGTGCTTTGACCACCAGGTGTCCCTTTCTATCAGCTCTGCACGGTTATGGTGTAAATACAGCCTATCTACCAATTGGATCAAATATAAAAGTCAGCCGAATTAGTGTTGATACTGCAAGGAGACGTATTGTGTGAAAAGAAATGTAAGATGTTGTTTAATTGCTTATATATTTATGATCCACGTCACGTTTTCAGTGCCTCATGTTTGTCTAGAAGTCTTCTCATCAGGGCTCTATAAATAGAGAATTACGGCAGATATGTAATATGTAATGCAGCCGAACCGTGTATTACAATGCCGTTATGTGATGACTTTCAAAGAGAAAAGCAAGCACACTCGGAATAAAGTATTATTGTATTTTTAAAAAACGTTTTCAGATTTCACATCACATAAACACCAAATCCCAGCATGCATTGCGGATAACCATCCAATCATCGAGCTGAGGATCTTGCCTACGTCTGTTTCCGGTTTCGTTTAATGACCGATGTATTTTGTTATACACACATTCCTTCACATTTACATTTTAATGTGCATTAAAGTATTTCGTGAGGCCTTCTAACATGTTTTTAAATATAACTATGGTTGTAGTTGAATAGTTTGTAAATTAACATGAACCGAAGCTGTTGCTTGGCAACTCAATCGCACAACGTCACGTCCGTTAATTCCACATCCACACGCATGGATTAACATCGATTTAATACATTAATGTAGCCTTTGTTTATGCTAAAAGAGGTGTCGACCAGCTGGGGCAACAAGAAAATCGCTGTAATCGAGTGTGACTATTACAAAATAAATCATTACGTCGGGGTAGCATTTGCTTGGTATTTCCGGTTATTTCTCCACTGGTTAACATGGGTTAACAATACCGTGTAGCTGTCACGCTTTTCACGTTTTGAAAAGACGAAACCGTGACATCTTCACATCTCCCAGCAATGGTAAAGCGTCACATGTTCACGTCTCACCGTGATACCGGGTTGCTATAAATGGACTCATGGAATATGGACTTTTTGCATTTTAATTTACCCTCCTATGAATATGTCAGCTGTACACAGATGAAACATTGCAAGGATTTTAAAGGTCCCATGTCATGCTTTTCCGGTTATTACCCGTCCCCTTGTGTGTTATGAAGGTTTTTATGCATGTAAACGGTGTGCAGAATCAAAACCCTCAAAGTACACCCTGTAGCGAGTAAAACTCTAACACAGAAAATACCTCCCCAAAACGCCTCGTTGAAGATACGTCATTGTCCATTGTTTACTTCCTGGGTACTGTGATGTAGGAATGGCCAGTAGCCGCGCCCAGAGCTATGACGCGATACGGTCATGCGTTACCCGGAACCAAATGGACCAATCCGTGGAGCCGTTACGTTACGTCCGCGGAGCCGTTACGTTAAGCCCCCGCTGATTGGTCCAAATTGACCAATCCACGGACTTCCTCACACACACACTCAGTGCAGGCAGCTCTGCTGATTTCTCCTCCCTGGCTGCAGGCTGATAACAGACAGTTGGGATTCTCTCTGCAGACCCATTCTCTCTGCAGACCCGTTCTCACAGCGTTTATCAACCTTTTTCTTACTCAATATCAAGCCACACTTATTGTTTTTACTTCGGCTGTGACTTTGTGTGTGCTCAGGATGAGTTTGGCTGTGTTTCGCTGTGTATTGCTAAACAAGGAAACAACAACTCCACGGAGTTTAGCGCGATTCACAAAGTCCCGACCAATCAGAGCACACTGTGCTCACAGGGAGGGTGGGGGCTGGAGCTATTGGAGCTACAACGAGCCGTTAAAGGCAGAGAGTGAAATTCAGTGAATACACGTAGTTTACAGAGATGCTGTTTGAGAAACCAATGTGAGTTTGGAAAATTGCACAATATAAATCTATTCTCTATTCTCAACAATGGATTTATGATCAGTGGAAATGGCCATGACATGGGACCTTTAAACACGATAAGTTCAGGACAGTGGCGCCTCCAGAAATGTTTCATAAGGGTTGCCAAATGGGGCCACTGAAAATCTTGGGGTGACACATAGCCGCGGGAAGTCATTTTACTTAGGTGGTGCGGCGAATTGTCAACGTGATGCCGTTTAAAAACACATTAAGGGCGGTGCCGGCCGTGAGCGAACCGAGCGGAGCGACAGGTCGTTCTGTGATTCTCCAGATTCTAGGGGGTGCGGCAGCCCCAGCACCCCTACTTCCCGCGGCTATGCACCAAAACCAACAATTTAATTGTTGTAAAAGTATAGACTAGATGAAAACAATGGCAAAGAGAATCACCTACTGATATACTTTGGTTTCTTATTTTACATTATCTGATACTATTCATCTGAAGTGTATATAATACGGATAGTTAACATTTAACTTCAAACAACATTTAAAAGAACCTTGTTTTGTGTTATGTATACATGTGTTAGGTGATTTATGAATAAGTACTCCCACAGCTCCTTTTTATTAACAACGGACATATACGACTTACCTTCTAGAAGTCTGGTGGATTTTTGTCAACTCCAGTCCAGTCAGTAGAAAGAAACACACGTTTTGCTGCAACCTGCTGCTGTCTGTGCGAATCTCAGAGTGGTGCGTGCGAGTATCAGAGTGTTACCATGGTAGCAGTGGGAGAGGGAGGGACTGCAGTATGAGCATTGGAAGCTCAAATCAAGCGACTCGCTGGCTGTGTATTTGTTGTTAAATATCAGATAAACTACTACCATACGTGACTGGCGAGGGGGTGTGTGTGGTGGGGCCAACAAATATATCAGGGTGCCATGGCCCCCCCCCTGCTGGCGCTACTGGCTCATGAACAAATGTAAAGACATATATGACGTTTTTTATTACAGGACTTAGTATAGGGACATGTTCTTTATCATATTAAGGAGCTGCATGCTAACGCTGGTTTGTGTTCCTCAGGGTGGGAGCAGCGTCAGCCGGCACGCTGTGCGCCCTCACCACTCTGTCCCAGCAGCTGGAGAGCGAGGGGGGCGCCGACGTCTACCAGGTGGCCAAGATGATCAACCTCATGAGGCCCGGAGTCTTCACAGACATTGTGAGTCTGAAATACCTAATTGTAAATTCTTAGGAAATTAAACATTTCCTAAGAGATTAGTAATTATAAACTATTGAAATTATCAATGATGGTGGAACCCAGAAAATAACAGCATAGTCTATTAAAAGAGATGTTGGTGCACATCATAAACAACTTGATTTAGGAATCCAAAGGTGACAGGCCCCACCCCCATGCATCATTAATTCACACTTTAATAATAATCATAATTAACTTAAACCAGAACAAACTCAAATCTATCGCTTTACCAGGCGAAGCCCAGACTGTTCCTTTACAATCCCCTTATGGGATAATGCATATTGTTCCAAAGAATTGTCAGTACATAATTTAAGTGAAAAAATATATATGTGTGACAAGCTGTACAGCATTAGCATGAAACTGAGCACAGTTTCCATACTGGCAGATCTGAGCGGTTGATGGTCTTTTAAATCCATTTAGCCGTTTGTGCTGAGAAGGAGAAAACAGGATCTCTGACAGACAGAATCAAGGCTAAGGGCCGCTTTACATTCTCATGAAGCAAACATCCAGCTGCAGTATTACTACAGGATGTGGCTAATTGTATTTCCTGTCCTCCTCCCCAACAGGACCAGTACCAGTACCTATACAAAGCTCTGCTCAGCCTCGACAGCACCAAGGAAAACAGCCTGTGTACTCTGGACAGGGACATTAATGGAACCTTGGGGTCCATGTCGGACCAGTCTTACCAGGCAGAGAGCATGGAGTCACTGGTCTGAGAGCGGCCCTTTGGGGGCCCGAAGCTTAGTTGACCTGGGGGGCCTCTTGTGGGTCCCTGAGCCCACAATGGAGGCACTTATCTTTGTAAAATGTCAAGGACCTATTGTGAGCAAGACTTTTTGAGGCCTTTTTGCCAGACTCTTGGTTAAAATGAATAACCTGATTACTTTTTTACACTGATACAAAGTTTTTGATATTTATTTTTTTTGCCATTTTATGTCTTAATGTTCTCCTATTGAAGGGTTTGCACCCCAGTTTTTGAGTTTCACCACAGCGTCGTTAGGCAACGGGAAACACTTTTTCTGTCTTTTCTTGTTTGCACTATATAATGTCAGTGTTACTGCCTATACTAAAGCTGACTCACTTGGCTTTTCTCCACTCGAGCTCTGATTTCTTTTTACATTCCATTGCTTTGGCCCGTATCAAATCAACTGCTTCTGTGAAGGACATTGTTCTGCCAGTTGGTTTAAAGTCCGCGGACGGAGGAAGGCACAGACTGTCCGCCTCAGTGGCACAAAGCTCAGCGTGACCTCCTCCGCCCTCCTTATCCACTCGACTCATATCACCATTTATTTACCACAAGAGTCACGATCTTGGAACCTCCGACCACAGACAAGTCGCACTTGTTTTTAAAAGTTGCTTTGCTCTTCACCTTGTTTTTTTTGCCTAGTTTTCTTCTCACTTTCCCTTTTATTATCCAGTCACACTCATGTTAATCAACCTAAGGTGGTGTAATAACTGCTACTGTGAAATGTTATTATAATTTCTTTCTTCATATTATGCTTTTTAATATATTGAAATACTGTATGTATACATATATAAATATATCCTTAACATAATAACTTGGTGATTTTTGTACATGTCCTTTGTGGCCTCCCACCTCAGGCAAGTTGATTTCCACCTCATCTGATAGTTTACCACTCCGGTTCTCACAGCTGATCACAGCCCTCTGGAAGCGGACTCTCTCAGTCCTCTACCTTCTTGTATGCTGCTATCTCATCGGAACTCAAACACATAGAACATACATTATTTCACATTTGGAACAGATAATGCAATGATTCCCATCTCTTTGAAAATAATTTCTATTTTCATCAATTCATTCTGACAGACAAGCACGGATTGAGACCACAGAGACCCTCAGTTCCTCACATGTTCCTGTGTTTAGTTTTACAGGGTTGAATCAGTTAGATGTGCAGGGGACAGGAGACTTGAAAACAAACAGGTTAGGTTTAAAGGTCCTTACACACCAAGCCGATTTTCGGCGTCGATAGATTTGACTGAAGTCTCACCGCTGCAGATTTAGGTGATTTAATTGTTTTAATCTTTACATTTTATTTGCACTCAGGACATCTGAACGGACATTCTTCTGCTTTTAAAGGTTCTTAACATACATATGTGATAACCACACAAGACAGAACAATCTGACAATACATTTGAATAGATATTCCTTAATTCACAAATTGGAAGCCTTTAGCCAGTGTTCAGACTACCATAACTGTTTTTGTGAATTATTTTCTGATCAATCACAATCAGCTGCTACATTTAGGGTTATTAAGAGCTGAAGCAACATGCTTTTAGATTCCACTTGTCTAATCTTGACTTCATTTAAATTAATTTGAACTTCTCATCTTCCATGCTTGCACTTTTTTTTCACTTATTATATTTGATAGGGACAATGCAAATCAACAACTAATGCTATTGTGTCTTAAATCAAGTTAGTACAAATAGAATACATTAAATATTCTAACATTGAAGTTTTGCATTTCAAAAATAATAATGATATAAGCAGCCTACTAAGACTTCTTATTCACCATCTGGCATGACAAACTCTTGCCCTTTTTATTACCCAGCCATATAGACACAAACAAAAGCTTGAGTTGTCTTAACTCACACATTTCTTATCAACAGTACTTAGACAAGATAATCCACCATGTGATTAAAACCCAGGAATGTGTATTCGATTGCCATTGCATACAGACCTGAGAGGATCATTTTCTATGTATCACAAACTGGAAATCCAGTGCTCACCAACAATGTGTTATTTAAGTAAGTAACTAGCCAAAGCTGCATTTAAAGAATACAGAATAGGTGAAGGTCCGTTTCATATCCGTGCTCGCTGACAGAGGTGTGATCACCCGCTCCAACCTCCAAAGCCTTGTGTACATAGTTTCCGTTCCTCACTCCCTTTTCTCCAGAGATGTCTTTTTTTGTGGTTTTGTGGCCTACAATAAATGTGTTCTGATCAAGCTGCAGTAACTCCTTACATGCACACTTACACTCATATTTCCACTCAGTTCCACATTTATTTGACAAGAGGATGTTCTAATTTAGCCGCTGATATTCTGTACCGTCCATGGCGTGAAATTAACACTTGTGGCTTTGCATTCCAAGTGAAAATGTTAAAGTGTTTTTTTCACACAGCACAAAACAGATTTGTCAAATGTGAGGGGGGAAATGTATTTTGATTCAAAGAAAAACTTTTACCAAAGACATGACTCCTTCCCGTGCAGAAAAAGAGATTTAGCAGTCTTCTCTCCTTCTGCCGACTTCTCTCTCCTGACTGAATGCTCGCTTCACCTTCTTACACCTCACACTATATCTGTATTTGTATCAGTGTCCTGATGAAAATATGCTTCATAGTCTCACTTCAATATCTGTTTGCTTTAACTTCAGCATCATAGTCATGTAGTTACTGTTACACAACTGTTTGGGGTATAGAGATATTTATTGTCCTAGTTCTTTTGCAGTGTTACCTCCTTTTGAAATGGGGGCTATATGAGCAAAACTCACTGTCTTAATGAGACATCAACAAAACATGTACTGCTTTTGGGGCTTTTCTTTATTGTAAGTACACACACTGCCTATCAAAAGTGTTCAGTCATACAGAAAGTGGCACAGCAACATTCATTTGCAAATCCTTGAAAAGCTACCATGAGCTACTGTCAGTGTTGAGCTAACTTTTAATATGCTAGCTAGCCAATAGCAGTGCTACTGCTGGACAGAAATAGAAGCTAGCAATATTTGGCAGTTGTGATCAGGACAATAATATAAAGTGTTTAAATCAAGCAAATACTATCCACGCCCGACTGATTTGACACCATGGGTTGTCAGAGTAGTGTGAATCAAAATGGATGTTCTATCACAGCAAATATGATATTGGCCCTTAATTTTGAACTCCTTGAATCGTCAATACCTCAAAGTTAAGCACTGTGGACAGATTAGGTCATTGCTTAACAGCATGTATGAGCATGTCGAATGTACTGATCAAGTAAAATGAACATATTTAAAATATGTTGCTGTTGTAAATCATGGTGTGACCGGACCTTAAGATGGTTATTCAGTTTCCCATTCACCATATTCAAGCCATTTTGATCATTGTGATCATTCCGAATTAAACATGTTAAATAGTGCCACAAGCGCACAGAAAGCTGCGCTGTCATAATAAATGTACAAATATTTTGTTGACTCCATAACTCATATTCTCTCTGGAGACTATGTTTGTATTTCATCACATTTTAAATTATGTAATTCAAACTTTCTGTATTTCTCTTTTGTCTATGATTATTTTATTTTTTTTACCATTTATTGATGTAACATTCCCTGACAAGGCTCTTTACTTTCCACTGGAGCCACTCATAGCATCGATGTTTATGGTGAGTCGAGTGGAAGCCAGGTGTCTGCGTCCAGCTTGTGGTCGTCATGACATGCCAGTTTTATATTCACGCCCTTCATTAATGCCGGGGCACTGTATTATTATGATGTTATGCCCTTTGATTTTGTTTTCAGTTATTTTCCTCTGGATAATTTTCTCACCATTGGCCCCGTTTTGGAAAGTTCCTTCCTCTTTTGTAACAAGAAATAAGACTATGGATTTAATTATGGATTTTTTTTGTTCCTTTGGAAGCTATATCAAAGCATTCTATTATAATGTTATTTAATATGTAAATGGTATTGCTATACTTACAATAAAATATGGGTTTTAATGTAATTTTCTGAGATCAGTTATGTGGTAATATTTGTTCTTTTTTGTGTTTTCTATAGGCGGTTTCTGTTGTTGAACACACCATTTTAAATCATTCATTTAAACTTTTTAAAAGGACCTGATTCCAATTGAAAAAAAAGAATTCATAGTTCTGAAGGTACAGATGCAGGAATTATAAAATGGATAATTGTGCTCTTTGATTATGACTGGCTTAGACGATTCATAAAATACTCTTCAAACACGTAGCTGCTATTAGTAGCAGCTGCAACCCATAACAAAAAAGGAAGATAAATGACAAAAGCTAGGTCTTTCCCATTTTCCAGTCACAACATACCTTTCCTCACCTCCTCTCCTCGTGTTTTAATCTCAAACTGCCAGTAATAGCTAATGGCGTTCATTGGGCAACATCTTTTCTCAGAGCTTTCTTTTTAGTTCCATTCATTAAATATGACATGAACCACAAACAAACATCAGCTGTTTGTTTGGAAATTTAGAGTGGAAGTGCCATTTACTTTTCCGTTTTAAGCTTTTTAATGAACTGTTGTTAAGTTATTACTCTCTCTGCCATAACGGTAGACACAGGCAAGTTTAACTAGGTTTTAGATAATAATTCTAAACTATGTGAGCCATCAATTTGGCAAAACAAACAAGAAAACAGCTGTGTTCTCGGCGTCTCGAGAGCGAAGGAGAGAGACCCCAAACATGCACGTAATATCTCAAAGTCTATAGATGTAGTGTTAAAATCAGTAGGTTTCGGTGTGCAACACTCCGTGTCATTTCGCTTCTATATTCACCTCTATAGGAAAAGGAATATTAGCCACATGCTAAATGCTAACCGGAGATGGAGGATTTTCAGAATAAAAGCTTGGCATTAAGATTGTGCAAGAACTTCTGGTTCTTTCAGAATAAAACAGCTTTTATGCTGACGGTATGTTTAAACGAAATTATGCCATAAAACATTGATTTTAATTTCTAACAATAGCTAACAATAGCTAGCTAGCTTGTTAAGTAAGTAGTTAACGTAAGATGGCTAACTAGATAGATCCAGCGCCGTATAGAGAGAGAGTTCCGTCATCTCTGTTCACTCCAATGGACCATTTTTTTACAGCAATGGCGGATCGTGGAGCCTCTCAATAGGTCCCGGAAGTTAGCGGCAAAGACTAGCAGCGCAGTAGAGTTGCTGCATAATAGACCGTTTGTGATGGACTTTTAAAGGTAAAACGTTTAAAGACTTATATTGCGGATATTATCAGCACATCTGAATCAAATTAACATGTGAATTAAAGCATGTTAGTGGATTATCCCCCTCTAAATGAGTAGATTTAGGGAACGATAACAGATTAGGCTAGGATACCATAAAGTTAGCAACACACGTTAAACCATGATCAGCCTTTTAATTGTAAATTCCGTTCTCTTAATGTCATTTCGTCCAACGTTGTGGAATTAGAGAAAAGGGGCTTCTAAACGTGATTTTATCCGGGCTGGAGGGAGTTAAATATTAGTTAAATATTACATTGGTGCGTGTGATTGTAGTGGGTGGAGGTGGTGAAATGAGGATATCCATTTTGGAGTTCAAGCTAGTATAATATAGTTAACGTTACACAATAATAAGGAAGAGAGCTATTTTTGTGATACATCGCTATTGATATGGATTTAGAGTGCATATTTGAGACTTCCAAACAGTAAACAAAAACATAACTTATGGGTGAGTGTTTTTAGCAATATGTTGATTATTACCTGTCTGTATTATGTTGCAGCTCAGCTGATTTTGAATTGATGGCAAAGGGAGAGGGACCTACTGTAAGTGAGAGTGAAAACACAAGGTACATTTAAAATAGGTCAGCAATTTCCCATCCTATAGGTTGATATGTAGATGTATCCAGTGGCGACTGGTCATTAGGGGCAGGTGGGGCATATACAAAAATATATTACATTACATTGTATTTAGCTGACGCTTTTATCCAAAGAAAACTTACAATAAGTACATTGGACCAGGGAGACACAACCTTGAAGAAAACAGAATCATATAATTACATCAGGATTCATAGAGCCAAACATTTCAAGTGCTACTCAACTGGCTATAGATAAGCCAGTCCTTTATTAGTATATAAGTGCTCTGTTAGCAGTTCTTTGTTTGTAATTCTATCGCTCGAAGTGGAGTCGAAAGAGATGAGTTTTCAGTCTGCGCCGGAAGATGTGCAAGCTATCTGCTGTCCTGATTTCAATGGGGAGCTCATTCCACCATTTTGGAGCCAGGATAGTAAACCCACGTGTTTTTGCTGATGGGAACTTGGGTCCCCCTCGCAGTGCGGGTGCAGCGAGCTATTTGGCTGATGCAAAGCGGAGTGCACGTGCTGGGGTGTACAGTTTAACCATGATGTAGGAAGGGCCAGATCCATTTGCAGCATGGTATGCAAGTACCATTGTTTCGAAGTGGATTCTAGCAATTACTGGAAGCCAGTGAAGGGAGCGGAGGAGCGGAGTGGTGTGAGAACATTTTGGAAGGTTGAAGACCAGACGAGCCGTAAAGTAACCTGTGTTCCCAGTGTCCAGATATGAGTTTGCTTAAACATATGTGTGTGCTTAATTACTTTGTATCAAATAGTAGCAGTCTGTATAACAAGAAGCTGGAAATATGAGAGGTGAAACATTTGTATTAGGAGTAGTGGAGTTGTGAGAGATGAGATATCCTTATTTGGACACAGCGTGTCAAACATCTGGAAGGCTGCATGGTCAAATGTGTGTGCGTTCTGTCAAAGAGTCCTATGTATGTTTCTGTAAAGTTCTACTACTTCGAAGCATTGCTGTAGGACTGCTTGAGAGCAGATGTAATGTTTTCCTCGTTATTATTGATATTAAAGTAACTTACATGTATTACTTGTATTAGCCAACTATAAACAACTATATCTTAAACATATCTTAAAGATGCCAAAAGTATGTGAAACTGTGTGTGTATTAAACTGATGGGGGAGGGGGCCGGAGAGAAGGAAGTCTATGCAAAATGTGTGTGTGTGCAGGTTGCAAGATGCAAGATAACGAACTTGTTATTCGGAGAAGTTCGTACCAGACACCAAATGTGTCTGCTTTGCCTCAAACTTAAGAGACTCTTGTTCCCGGGTCGCCTCGGCTGGCTCGCGCTGATTCGCTGCGACAGGCCATCGTTTTTGTATCTCCCAATAGATGGCCCCTCGAGGAGCATTCGAAACAACTCCTCCCGTTGCAATTACATGTATCCCTGTTGTGTGCTTTGTCCGCTCTCTTTGTCCTCATGCTGCCAAGATATTAAGATCTACCAGCAATAGGACCAGAGCAGGGGTACCCCTTTAAATTGTATTGTTGTTTTTACCATTAAAACAGATTATTGTTTATCCTTGTGCTTTGAATTCCTTCTTTTATAATTTAACCAGCTCATCAAGGGACGCGCGGAGCCGAGGTGGGCTTCAGACCACCGTCCTCAGCGCTCCAACAGCCGCTGCATTCTGGATGAGCTGCAGAGGTCGGATGGCACATGCAGGTAGACCAGCCAGGAGGGAGTTGCAGTAGTCTAGGCGTGAGATGACGAGAGCCTGGACCAGAACCTGTGTTGCTTTCTGGGATATATAAAATATATTCTAAGATCATGTTTAATCATCTGATTCGTCTGTACATTGCTGTTTTAGTCTGTGTTCTTCTAATTAGTGTCTACAGTGTGTGCCTATTGAGCTGTTTAGAGCCATGTGGGACAAAACCCGATCATGCCCCTCCCTCTCACTGTCTAAATGAATGGTGACTGTAAAAACTACACTGCGCATGCTCAGAGTATTTTCCTATTTAATGGGTGTGGCAAAAAAATAATGACCATAGGGGCATAGAGCTGCCATCCCCACCATACGTCATCTCACATCATTCAGAGCTGATTGGCTGTAAGTATGTGTGCCGCGTAAAGTGTGGTGTGTGATGAGGAGACTAGAGAGGTGCGTCCTAAAACCTGGAAGTAAGCTGCTCATGGCTTCCCTCCACAAAAAAGCAATGAGATTTCTCCATAGGATTTTAGAAAATAGCTCAAAATAAGATCTGTGGGAAACGTACCTGTTAGATAAATGCACGTTTTGTTCAGCCGGATAATATCCACATGTCTACCCTACTTTTATCATTTTCAAATCATAAATCTATTGATTAGATTTGTGATAGACTTTTGAAACTACAAGAAGATAAGGAGGACTTTTACAAAAAAGTAATAGAGATTTTTGTCCAGAAGGATAGGCAAATGGACTTCATCTTCAAGTCAAGGTAAGACCGCAATTGTATTGAACATGGGATCTTACTAAGAGAGAACAATTCAATATTTAAATGATAAAATTACATTTTTTGGGTATCCTTTTGTTGAACTGTCTGTTTAAAATTAATCGAAGCATCAGACAAAAAAAGCTTTTGAAAATAATATTATAATTTGATTTAGGTCAAAATATAATATTTGTAAACCTGAAGAGTCAGTGCCAGTGCCTCACCAGCCATGAACCTCACTGCACGTCACTGCAGAAGCTTATATATAGACATCTACGTTTTTTGTGCCCCACCACTTTTGTACATATAAAAACGCCACTGGATGTATCTAACCCTTTCTCCTGTCTTTGTCTCCCTCTTTCAGCACAAGAACCACAGGGGGATTCAATGGAGCCTGAATACCTGCAATGAGACCCTCACTCTGCACCTGAGTCTCAACTCCCAGAGTTTTGCAAGCCTCTCCCTGTTCCTTATTTTTATTAAACCAGACATTAAGCTTCCCAATGGTGTGGTCTTCGTTTTGTGAAAAATATGATTACCTCACATATTGTGTTGCTGTTGTTGTCTTTTGTGATAGTTAAATTGCTCCTGCTGACTTGAGCCAGCCATTCTTTCCTCCTCTCTGTGTCAGTGGGGAAACCGTACATTCATACTCCTTTCTCTGAGCCTTTGGGGCATCCCCATGCAGCACAGCAAACCATGGGGAGACTATATGCCAGGA